ACAAACCTAAAAATCATACTTCTGTCATTACTATGATGTCAATCATTTAAAAAAAAAAGTCATGGATAGTTGAAAGTGATAGAAACACATTTTTGCCAGGACAGCAAAGTGGAAAAAAAAAGAATTCACTTTTTAAGAATTCAGGGTTAATTATAGCATATAAAAAGGTTAAATCTTACCCATGCTTATCCATTTTTTTTTTTCTTCTAAAAAATAAATAATAAGAATAGTAAATAAATCAAGGGAAAATATTATTACCATCACACATTATTACCCTCACATGCAAAAAAAAATCTACTTGAAGGCTGATCAAGGACTTATTTCAGTACATATTAGATTTAGAAGTCAACTACGGTCCACAAATCAAAGAAAACATGAACAGCATTTTCATCAGCAGCGCGCTAGATGGCGATGTTGTACCACGTGCGCTCACATCATGCGCGCCCGGACTTCCCAGAATGCATTGCGGCTGCTAGTGCGGTTAGCCTACGCTTACCTGTGAACATACGGCATTATACACACGGCGTCAGGGTTTCCTCAGTTTAATAGTTTGTCTTAAGCGATATGCCTCCGAAAAAGCCACCTCAAGCTGCAGGCAATAAGAAAACCCAAGAGAAGAAGAAAGAGAAGATCATTGAGGTGAGATTTGCGGCGTTTTAGCACTCTTGCAGCATGCTCAACTCTGGGCCTTGTGCTCTGATTCACTCACCAGCGCATTTCTGAAGCTTCTAATGATACTAAAAGCCTCAAATGAATGGAATAACATGGATAAGCAGTTATATATTTGTTAAATTGGGTTAGACTAAACTGTCAGTCTGATATTGTCAACGTAGTGGTGAATAAAGAGGAAATGACGATGTGAAATGAGCCTAAGTCTACTGCTAGTTTGCCACATTCAGGCTGTGTCTGAAAACATAGTGAGCTGTCCATGTAGACAGCATTTGTAGCCATAAAACGTTTAATTTGAAAGTGCCAAAATGACTAACAGAGTCAGGATGCTCGTTAGGTTTTGAGCCACATCCTTACTGATCTGGCAGTTCTTTTTATGTACCTAATGTGTTATTACCCAGTCTCGTTTGTGGTATGTAGGAATATTTATTATCGTTTTATAGAAGAATTGGCTTGAAACAATATGGCTGTTAATTTTGGTCTTATTTTGTATGCATCACATGCTGTTCTGATTATGTAATCTATTTGTTTTAGTATGGGCTGTTTTTAAAATAATAGTGTCATTGTTACTGTGACTTTTAATTGTTTCTGGCAGGATAAAACCTTTGGACTGAAAAACAAAAAGGGAGCTAAACAACAGAAGTTTATCAAAGCTGTGACGCAGCAGGTCAAGTATGGACAGCAGAATCCACGACAGGTAATGATTGTGAAGCTGATTTTAGTGTTTTTATCTTAAGTTTGAATTCCCAAGCCAGTATCCCAAAGGTCTGCAATGTGTTTTGTTTTATTTGTAGATTGCTGCTGAAGCTGAAAAGAACAAAAAGAAGGATGACAAGAAGAAGGAGTTGTCTGAGTTGAATGAGCTCTTTAAGCCAGTGGTGGGAGCTCAGAAAGTCAGCAAAGGTAACTGGTCCATCGAATAATGCAGAGTTCACACTGCACGATTTTCAAAGACGTCGCATCACTGTTGGTTTCACATTGAACGACTATCTGGGGTAGCATTCAGTTGTTGCTGTGTTCACACTGCACGATGGAACGATGACGGGAGGTTACACACTGCATGACTTTACAATAGGAAGAATCGCACAAAATACACAAAACAATACACATTATTTTGGCGGGGTTCTCCTGGTACAATTCACATTCCAGGGCCTAAATATCACGTTATTGAGGTCGCTTCAACCTGCTGACATAAAAAACAACCGGCGGCAATCGCGGATTTGTCACTCGCGTGAACGAGCACCAATTTGCCTCCGATTTCGGGCATTTCGCAAAACCTGTCGGCGAGTGAAAAATCGGGCTAAAATCGTGCAGTGTGAACTCGGCATAAGGGACACAACTTTATTTTAAACTGTTCTCTGAATCATGCACCTAATTCAAATCATCAGGGGTGCATTTCCCAAAACATTGTTAACCAGCTGGTCATAATCAACCAAGTTTAACGATTCAGTGTTTTTTTTTTTTTTCAAAACCAAAGTTTGCAAACAGCATCACAGACGAATTACAGCTTTCAACCTGTGGTTTCTTGTTACATGCTTAAATAGACCAGTACAATCTATATTTTTCCAGTTTGTCATAAAAATAAAAGCAAATATGATCCGGTACCCAGTGGAACCCTGGAGTATGATGTAAGAGGGAATCAGTGATTAAATCAAGCACCTGTAAATAAAGCAAAACAACAGAGAACAAAAATAGCGAGGTAGTCCTTAGATGTCATGTTTATTTAAAGCAGAGATGTGACCATTTTAAACCCAAACTGATTAATTAGCTGAAGTTATTACTCTGTCACCTCCAGATCTATATTGTTTAACCGCCACTAGTTAAGAGACGAGTTATGGGATTGTTGTGCGGGAAGCACACCCCAGCGCAACTGTATATTTTATGGCCAACCATATACTTTACTTTGGTCTTAGCTTGGTTTATGTAGCTCTGTGATGAATATAATTGTCCTGCTTTGGAATGATTACTGCCCATCTGTACACTTTGCTCTTCTGTTCTATTCTTTTTGTCATCTGTGATGATCATCTTCATGATTTTTCTGTTTTTCATTTCAGGTGTGGATCCCAAGTCTGTGCTGTGTGCTTTCTTTAAGCAAGGCCAGTGTACCAAAGGTGATAAGTGTAAATTCTCTCATGACCTCACTTTGGAGAGGAAATGTGAGAAAAGAAGCGTGTATGTGGATGGCAGAGATGATGAGCTGGAGAAAGGCGAGTCCAATAGTATTTTTATGACTCTACATATTTAGCACGCTATTATGTACATTAATACATTTGAAAAATTCTTTATCATGTACTGACAAGGTTGCCATTGGATTTTGGAATTGACATAAGTGGAACTATTGCTTCTGATTTAATAGATGGAATTAATCTCAAAAATAATATTGGTTGCTTTTATGTAGTTATTTTAATTGTTTTGATTTTTGTAATTGCAGACACTATGGAAAATTGGGATGAAAAGAAACTTGAGGAGGTGGTGAACAAGAAACATGGAGAGGCTGAAAAGAAGAAAGCAAAGACACAAATTGTAGGTTCTGGCAGGAAGTTTGCACTTACAATTTTACACTTAAATCATCTAGATATTAGCATTGATGTGATTTGACCAGTGAATCAAAGAAATGAATAAATAATCTTTATTTTAAGGTGTGCAAGTATTTCCTTGATGCTATTGAAAACAACAAATACGGCTGGTTTTGGGTTTGTCCTGGCGGAGGTGACAACTGTATGTACCGCCACGCTCTTCCTGTGGGCTTTGTTCTGAAGAAAGACAAGAAGAAAGAAGAGACGAATGAGGAGGAGATCTCGCTGGAGGATTTGATAGAGACTGAGGTGAGAAGGAAGAGAAGAGTGTTTCAGAATGTGATTGTGAAGTAGCAGTGTCATTGAATCTGATAGTTATCTATCATAATTGTTGTTATGATCATCTGTTCTTTATTGTAGCGATCTACCCTGGGAGCAAATGTCACCCGAATTACTCTGGAAACATTCTTGGCCTGGAAGAAAATGAAAAGGCAAGAGAAACTGGCTAAAGCAGAGCAGGACATGGAGAGAAAGAAAGCCGACTTCAAAGCTGGCAGAGCATTTGGGGTGAGTGAAAATCATGACACAGATATTCCTGTTTGCCTGATCGATTAAAATACTGACCTCAAAATAAAAATAAAAAGATGCTGAGGTCTTGGAAAAAGGACTTATTCTGATAAAGTATTGGGCATTAAGGGTGCTTTCACTCTAGCACTTTTGGTGCGCACCCGGGTTCGATTGACGTCAGAGTTTGGTACGTTTGGATGATGTGAACGCGGTCTTCCGAACTCGGGTGCGCACCCGTGAACCGTACCCGAGTCCGCTTAAAAAGGGTGGTCTGGGTTACGGTTCAAGTGAACTCCGGTACGGTTCGCTGCTGATGTGAACGCAATCGTACCAAATCACGGAAGTGAACCGCTATTAATGACGTATTATTTGATAAAAATGCGTGTTTGTGTGTTTCACTCACTTTCTTGACGAGCGTGACTGACGCGCTGCAAACAGAGAGCTGTATATCTCATTTCTGTTCACCTTCAGAGTACTTTAGAGCATTTGCAGTACATTCGCATTCGTAAGGCAGACGTAAGTGCCGTTATGTACTGAAGCTTTGGAAACAAAACCAATGGTTAAAAAACATAAATATAAATTTGAAGAGAGCCTTGCTACGCATTTTGCCGTCTTCTCCTGCGCCATCGTTACTAAGCAACGGGGTAAACAGCTGCTGGCTTGATGACGCAAATGAACCACAGTTTGGACCCAAAAAATATAATGTGAACACAGTCCAGCGGGGGCAGGGGGAG